TATTTTTTTTTCCACTAAAATCTAGACAAAAGGATTATATTCTTTAGAATCCTTTTCTGAAACATTAGAATCTGACTCGGTCCATTGAAGCTGGCAAAAACTTAGTCACAGGATATCTCAAAGCCTTAGAATTGATTCACTATTGTCCAGTTGATACTGAATCTTTGAGACTTTTCATTGCATTTCTTGTATTTCCCATATTATAAATCTTAATAGAGACTAGCTTGGAAGGAGGAGTGGCATCCACTTCCATAATAGCTTGCCTCCAGAAACACTATGAACCTGGAGAGAGGATGAGAGACACCCAAGCATTGAGGACTCTCCTTCATAGGGTCTCTATGAGTCGCCTGCAACTCGATGGCACTTAACAACAACAAAAGAGATTACACATTTTGCTCTTGAAAACCATCTGTTGATGTAGAACTTCCAAACTTGGGCTATCTTTGCAAAACACTATGCACTATGCCACTAAAGCTCTTTTTTTAGAATAAAGGAGGTTTCTAAACTAATCACAAATACAGAAAGTACTGGGTGGAGGTTCAGGAAGCAAGTATGTGTGGAGAGAGAGAGAGAGGGAGAGGGGGAGAGAGAAAGAGAAAGAGAGAGAGATTAGATTAGATAGATAGATTTAATTTATATATATTTAATTTCTACATATTTCATTTATTTGTATATTTAATTTATATTATGTTTATTTAAACTTCTTTAAAACTGTCACGATCTAAGAATTCTCAGTCTTTTTGATTAGTTGTTCATTTTTAAATTTCAAAGTGAAATTAATTGGCCTATCTTTGGTTATATGCCTGAAATATTTCTAAATCTGAACAATTTAACTTAACCTATACTTTCAATAGAATTTCTCCAATAAGAGAAAAGTTAGTTCCAACTAAATAAACTGTCACTAATTTCAAAAGACTTAAACATAACCTTTAATTTTGACCATGAAATCTATCTCTAGTCATATTATGGGAAATAATAAGAGATATTTTCAAGGATTTAGAAATAATATTTAATGTTAACGAAAAAAGACTGATACTAAGCAAAAAATTAAAAATAAAACTGCAATATGTCTTGAAATCTTTCACAATTTCAATCTCATCTCGATCTATTATTATGTCGCTGTTTACCGCAGTGATGAGTTGTTGTCAGTTTTGTTTTGTTCCCCCCCTTGATGTTAATATGTAACCCATATTGAAAGTTGTGGTCTTTGATTTTCTGTAGCAAGCACCTCAAGTCCTCTTCACTTTCAGCAAGCAAGGTTGTGTCATCTTCAGACTGTTGACAAGTCTTCAACATTCTTCTTCATAATGTCCAACTTCTAGAATTATTTGCTCAGCATATGGATTAAAGGATGGAGAAAGATGGTGCACACTTTTCTTCATGTTAAACCATTCAATATTCCCATTCTCTTTTCAAACTTTTGGTTTTCGCAAATTTTCCATGAACACAATGAGTTATTTTAGATTCTCATTATTCTCAATGTTAGCTGTGAGTTGTAGTGATCCACAAAGTCAGATGACTTTGTGTAGTCAACAAAGCAAAGACAGAGATCCTTCTAGTGTTCTCTACTTTTACCAAGATCATTCTCATATCAAAAGTGATATCCCTGGTGCCATGCTGCTGTTGTTGTTGTTATGTGTTGTTGGGTAAATTATGACTCATAGTGACCCCTTGCACAATAGCTCTGAATCTTGCCCTATCCTGAGCAAATTTCACTATCTCTGGTACTCCTACCTTATTGCCTCAGTTATTGCATCATCTATCTATTCCAGGACCTTCCTCCCCTGTGCTGTCCTTCCAACCTTTCAAGCATGATATCCTTTTTCAATGACCAGTCTCTCCTTGATACCTGCTACAAATATGTGAAACAGAATTTCAAAATCTTTGCCTCCAGGGAACATCTTGTTTTCACTCTCTCCATGACAAACCTGTTAGTTGTCTGGAAGTGCATATTGTTGTTTGCTGTTATGTGCTGTGAGTCCCTTGTAATTCATGGTGACCCTATGTACAAAACTCTGAACCCTGCTCTCTTCTGTGCTGACCTTATTGACACTGACATGTATACCACCATTACCCTACTCACTGAATCAATATATCTCATCGAGGATCTTCCTCAAGATGACGTCTCTCTCCAAGGACTGGTCACTCTTTGCAACATATCAAAATATGTCAGATGAAGCCAAAGAATCCTTGCTTCCAAGGAGAATCCTGGTTTCACCCTCTCTAGGTTGAACCAGTTTGTTCTCCTAACAGTCCATGGTATATTCAATACTCTTCTCCAGCACCACAGCTTAAAGGCATCAATTCTCTTTCTGTCATTCCTGGTTGTTGTCCAGCTTTCTGATGCATAACAAGTATTTGAGAAGACTATGATCTAGATCAGGCACACCTTAGTCTCCAGATTGACATTGTGGCTCTTCGGAACTCTGGAGAAGTCTCTGACAGCAGACTTTCCCTATGCAACTTATCTTTTGATTTCCTGGATACTGGTAACAAGAGTGTTGATTGTGGAGCCAAGCAAACTATAGCTACTAACAATCTCCATCTCTTCACTGACTTTCCCTATGCAACTTATCTTTTGATATCCTGGATACTGGTACCAAGAGTGTTGATTGTGGAGCCAAGCAAACTATAGCTATTAACAATCTTCATCTCTTCACTGTAGACCAGGATGCTGCCAATAGGCCCAGTGGTGAGAATCTTTGTTTTCTTGATGCTGAGATTCAATCCATGTGGAAGGATCAAGTCCTTGACCTTCTGAAGCATGTACTTCAGGTCCTCCGCCGGATGTTCAAAACTCTTCTCCAGCACCACAACTCAAAAGTATCAATTCTTCTGTCATCCTTGATCATTGTCTGGCTCTTTGATGTATAGCCAGTAATTGTGAATACCATGGCCTGGATCAGGCACATCTTAGTCGCTAGATTGACATCCTTGATCTTCAGCACTTCAGAGAGAACGCTGAAAGGAGATTTTTCTAATGCAATTTGCCTTTTGATTTCCTGACTATTGTTGCCGAGAGTGTGGATTGTGGAACAGAGCAAAGCTAAATTGTTAACAATTTCAGTCTCTTCTCTACCTACAATGATGGATTTGCTTGATGTTGAGTTTCAATGCATATTGCAAACTACAGTCCTTGACACTCTGCAGTAAATTCTTCATGCCCTCCTCAGTTTCAGAAAGTAAGGTTGTGTCAGCTACATAACATGGCCTGTTGATGAGTCAACCTCCAATTCTAATATCACATTCCTTGTCGTAGAGTCCAACTTCGTGAACTATCTCTTCTACATACAGATGGCTTCTTCTAAATTCAACTTGAATTTCCAGCAGCTGTCATTGCACTGTTTTAAATGGGTATACTAAAAAATTTTGTTTGTATATGATATGAAGAAATTGTTTAATAATTCACACACTCTGTAAAATAGTTTTGGGGGGGAACAAGAACAAATATGCAACTCTTCTAGTGAATTGTCTTAGTAACTGTTTTTCCTATTTTTTGGCACAGATTTGTTAGCACATCCAGGTTTGCATCTGTTTTTTGGACCATGTAAATTGGAATTAAATCAATTCCTGGGATTTATTTTTTTTGCCAATGCCTTCAGTACATTTTGAACTTATTGCTTTATTACCACTGGTTCTTGATCATATGATACTTCCTCAGATGGTTCCATGTCAACAAATTCTTTTGGTACAATGTTGTTGTAGATTGCCTTTGAGTCGAGCATGACTCATATTGACCCTATGAGACCCACAAAAGGCCTGAAGCCCCTCTATATCTACTGACATTTATCAAAGTTTATGGAGTTTCTGCAGGCATGTTGTTTAGGTAGTGGATACCACTAACTTTTTTTTTCTTCCACCTTCTTTTGATGCTTCCTAGATCATTAAAGATTTTGCCCATAGTGTCCTTTTATATTACAATGTGAGGTTGAATTTTTTTCTCGAGTTTTTTCATGTTTAATAATACTGAGTGAATGGTTACATTTTCGTTTTCTTACTCCAACTATTTTCACATTTTGATTTAAGAATTTGCTTTATCATTTCTAGCTGCCCTTTGAAATAATCTATTCAATTCTTTGACTTTGGCTTTTCTTTTATTTTTTTGACTTCTTGATATAATAACACTACTTTCTGAGTCTCTCATGACATCAATTTTCATAGCCTCAAGGTTGTATTTTGAGTCTCGTGAATTTAAGTTTCATCAGCTTAATTTTCAACTTGTGCATTAGCAATTGATGTTTATACTGTTTAAAGGCTCTGACCTTAGAGTCTGCTTTTGTAAAAGAAAGACGATTATTTCTATTTAACAAGGTGGTTGTGAAGATGAGAAATCTATATGTAAGCCATATAAATTTTACATTCCTTATAAAAAGAAAATTTAAACAATTGTCTAAATTATAAAATTTATTTAAGGAAAATTATTAAGCAATTATAGATTAAAAATGGTATGCAGAAACTCTCCCCACATAATCTACTACTAGAAATATGCCCAAAGAAGTTAGACCTGAGACAGAAAGATTTATACACCAATGTCCATAGCAGTGTTATTCATCATCACAAGAATATTTGAACAGTTCAAAACTGAATAGATTGAGAAATCATAGTACATTCACATAACGGAATACTATGCTGCATTCAGGAGCAACAATTTCCAAAAGTACTATATAATTTAGGAGAGGCTGGAGAGTATTATGTTGAGTGAACTAACTTAGTCTTATAAGGACAAATCCTGTATAGATCATTGTCGTAAAAATAGAAGGATAGGCGAATGGTAGATCCGCCATCACCGGGTGAACGTTACATTTCCTGGACCTTAGCCACCTCTCACCGGCAATCCTTTCCCGGGTCTCAGGTTTTGCTCCCCTGACTTTCTGACGCTCAGCTCTGTGGACATCAGCTAACTTAGAAGTTCAGTTCTCTCTCTTGCGTGTGTGTCCCTGCTGCTGCTCCAGTCCTCCGCGTTGCGTTCTCCATTCCCGCTCCGGCGCATGGCTGTGGCCATGTTTGTGCCCTGCGCCGAGCCAGTTCCCGAGCTCTCGGGCTGCACCCTCTTGATGCCAGCAGTATCTGTTGGAAATGTTGGCCAGCTTGCAATAGATCTGATTATTTCCACACTGAATATGTCTAAAGTTGGTTACTTCTATACTGATTGTCTTGTGCCAATGGTTGGAAACAATCCCTATGCAACCACAGCAGAGCTGAGTATAAATGCTGAAGTATACTCATTGCCTTCAAGGAAGCTAGTGGTGCTTCAGTTGAGATCCATTTTTATCAAGTATAAATCCAAACCATTCTGTGAAAAGCTGCTTTCCTGGGTAAAAAGTAGTAACTGTGCCAGAGTTATCGTTCTTTCAAGCAGTTCTTACCACTGCAACGACCTCCAACTTTGCAGTAGTCCCTTTCGCTTCCTACTTACACCTTCCATGCCAAAAAATGTTCAGAATAAAATAAAGAGCCTGAACTGGAAAGAAATGGAAAAAAGCCAGTGCATTCCTGGAATTGAGGATTCTGAGTTCTGTGTCCATATCCCAGGAGGTGGTATCACAAAAGTACTCTACAAGGAAAGCTCTTCCAGAGAAATTCCAATGATGGTTCTGCTTAAATTTATTTCTGAAGGAGATAATATTCCAGATGCATTAAGTCTTGTCGAGTATCTTAATGAGTGGCTTCAGATCATCAAACCATCTGTCAATGACTCTACATTATCTGCTTTGCCATGGAAGATACCAAGTTCCTGGAAACTGCTTTTTGGGAGTGGTCTTCCTCTTGCACTTTTCTGACAGTTTCCGTTTTGTTCCACATGCCTCAAGAGACTTACCACCATTCCTGCTGATGAACGCTCTATACAAAATTTATACTGAGAATGTATTACAGAGCAGGTATTTACTTTCCAAAGAAATTCAAAGAATAAAGGATTAACAAAAGATGCTTTTGTCATATTTTACATATAGCAAATGCAAATTTTGTAAAATAAAATAATTTTGCCTAAAAAAATAGAAAGATAACTAGAAGATCATGTATGCAGAACCAAGGGAGGGGGAAGAAGTGGGAGCAGAGGGGTGAAGATTATTAGTAGGGATGAAGCCACAGAGTTGCACAATTCAGTGAGGAGTGTGTAAAGGAAATGGGAAAGATTCAGCAGAAACCTCAAAAGATAGTAATGATGGGCATCATCCAAATGTCATTAATTTTATAAAACATAGTGCAACCACTATGGAAGGCAGTATGGTGCTTTCTCAAAAAAGTTGGAAATAAAAATACTATCTGATTCAGCAATTCCTCTACTGGGAGTAAACCCTAAAGAAACCATAACTGCCACCCAAGTAGATATGTGCACAGCCATGTTTATTGCTGCTTTGTGCACAATAGCAAAAGTTGGAAACAACCTAATTGCCCATCAACAACAACAAAAAAATGGATAGTGAAGCTGTGGTATATTCACACAATGGAATATTATGCTGCAATGAAAAACAAAGAACTCATGAAATATTATACAAAATGAGTGACCCTGGAGGACATTATGCTGAGTGAAATATCTGAGTCACAAAGGGACAAATACTACATAGTGCCACGGTTGTAAAATGGGACTGACATCAGTGTTGGGGGAATACTAAGAAAAGAGGGGATAAATAATGTATGTTGTGGTTATCATGTGCTGTCGAGTTCCTTGCAACTCATAGCGACCCTATGTACAAGAGCCCTAAACACCATTCTATCCTGTGCCAACCTCACCATATCAAACACACTCATTCCCACCACTCCAATCACAGAATCGATCCATCTAATAGAGGGTCTTCCTCCCCTGCGCCATCCCTCCACTCTCCCATGATGTCTCTCTCCAAGGACCTGTCAGTCCCTCCTTGCAACATGCCCAAAGTATGTCAGACGAAGCTTCAGAATCCTTCACTCCAAGGAACATTCCAGCTTCACTCTCTCCAAGACAAACCTATTTGTTCTCCTAGCAGTCTATGGTATATTCAACACTCTTCTCCAGCACCAAAGCTCAAAGGCATCAATTCTCTTTCTATCATGCCTATTCACTGTCCAACTCTCTGATGCATAGCACATAATTGTAAAGACCATAGCCTGGATCAGCCTCTTAGTTTCCAGCCAGACGTCGTTGCTCTTCAGTACTCTTGAGAGGGCCCTCACAGCTGACTTTCCCAATGCAATCCATCTCTTGATTTCTTGGCTGCTGTTACCAAGAGTGTTGACTGTGGAGCCAAGTAAACTAAAACTGTTAACTATCTCAATCTCTTCACCATCCATACTGATGCTGCCAATTGTCCCAGTGGTGAGAATCTTTGTTTTCTTGATGTTGAACTCTAATCAATATTGAAAGCTGTAGTCCTTGATCTTCTGCAGCAAGTGCATCAGGTCCTCATCAGTTTCAGCAAGCAGGGTTGTGTCATCTGCATAATGCACATTGTTGATGAATGTTTCTCCAAACCTTATGCAACATTCCTCCTCATACAGCCCAGCCTTCCGGATGATTTGTTCTGCATATAGACTGAAAAGGTATGGAGAAAGAATACATCCCTGATGTACACCCTTCCTAATTTTGAACCATGCAGTGTTTCTTTGCTGTGTTCTGACAACTGCCAAGTATAGGCTTTGCATAAGCACAATCAAATGTTCTTGGATTCCCATTTTTCTCAAAGTTAACCACAGTTTGTTGTGATCCACACAGTCAAATGCCTTTGCATAATCAATAAAATTTGAATAGATAGTCCTCTGGTACTCTCTGCTTTCAGCCAAGATCCATCTAACATTAGCTATAATATCCCTAGTACCATGGCCTCTTCTAAACCCAGCCTGCACATCTGGCAATTCTCTGTTGGCTTGTGGCTTCAGTTTATTTTGAATAATTTTCAGCAGGAACTTGCTTGCTTATGATATTAATAATATTGTTCAACAATTTCTATACTCTCTCAAGTCACCTTTCTTTGGAATGGCAACAAATATATACCTCTTTCAGCCAGTTGGCCAGGTGATTTTCCTCCAGTTTTCTCAGCATAACTTAGTGAGCACATCCAGAACAGTATCTTTTTTTGTTGAAAAAAGTCAATTAATATGCCACCAATTCCTGGATGGAGCCTTGTGTTTTCATGTTTATTTTTGTTTTTGTTTTCCAATTCTTTCAGAGCAGCTTGAATATTCTTCCTTTATCATTAGAAAAGCTCTTGCTTATATGTTGTTTCATTACATTCTTCTGTGTCAGCCATTTTTTTTCTGTTACAGTGACTCTGTATATTCTTTCCATGTTCTTTTAATTCTTTCTGGATTATTAATATTCTGTCCAAGCCATCCTTAAGTATTAAAACTCGTGGCTTGAATTAGTTTGTCAATTCTTTCAACCTAAGAAATGTTGAGCAAGTTCAGTCCTTTTGATTTTCTGCCTCTAACTCCTTGCACATTTTATGATAATACTTTTACTTGTCTTCCAAGCTTCCCTTTGAAATCTTCTGTTCAGCTCCTTAATTTCTTTATTTCTTTCCTTTGCTTTGGCTTCTCACTACTCTAGTGCACTACTCAGAGTCTCATCTGACTCCGTCTTGGTCTTTTCTTCCTCCATAATTAGGTGTAAAATTTGTACTTACTTTTTGATGAAAATGATTGGAATCTTGAAAATAGAATAAAATATTTTAAAACAAATATTTTAAATGAAAGATAAAGATTAGGATTAGAAAAGGGACCTTATCTGATTCTTCAACCATTATTCCACTTTTAAAATATCCTATTCCTGGAAATGATGTTGCTTTTAGGAGCTGTCTAGTTTGGTATGGTTCATGGTGACTCTTTGAACAACTCATCTGAACACTGTCCTCTCCTCTGCCACCCTCACTGTCTCTGACATACTTGAGTTCATTGCTGAAGTTACTGAGTCCATGTCTTTAAGGGTTTTCCTTTCTTTCTGTGATCCTTCACTTTTCCTGGCATGATGTCTAGTTCCATGGAATAACTCCTCCTAATAATATGCCCAAAGAACGTGAGATGAATCTTCACCATTCTTACCTTTAGGGGAACTCTGGCTATATTTTCTCCAGAATATAGCTTTTCTTTCTTTTGGCAAACCATGGGATGTTCATTAATCTTCCCTAACATCACAGTTTTTAGGCATACATTCAGACTTCAAAGCATAGCTTTTGGTAAGTGATCGAAAAGATCATGCCCTAAATCAGACACAAATTGGTATTTAAAATGGCATCATTGCTCCTCAGTAATTTGAAGCCATCCCTAACAGAAAACTTAACCAATGCAATCAATTTCCTGATATCCTGACTGACAGTTACAAGTCTATTGGTTGTGGATTCAGGTATACCTAGACCAAGATGCTCTCAGGTGAACAGAGCAAGAGAAAACTGCATGGTTTAAATTTAAGAAAAGTGTGTGTCAAGGGTGTTTCGAATCTCCCTACCTATTCAATCTGTATGCTCAGAAAATCAGTGAAGAAGCTCCTCGACAAAGTAGAATGAGGGGTTAGGATGAGAAGAAGACACACTGACAACCTGCGCTACCCAGATGAAACAATTTTGCTTGGTGAAAGTGAGGATTTGAAAACTAGGAAAGATAAATAGTAGTTAAACCAACTCCATTCTATTGTTTGTCTTTTTGTAAAGATTTAGAGGACCTGCTAAGGCTAATCGTGAGATTAGTGGTGTGTCATGCAGTATCTGATAGAAAAAAAGGCACTATATTTGAAAGAAAAATTTAAGGCTCATAGTATGAAAAAGGTAATGTACTGTTTTAAAGTCAGTGTTGCTGTTGTTATGTGCTGTCGAGTCGCTTGTGACACATAGTGACCTTATGTACAACAGCCCTAAACCCTGCTCTATCCTGTTCCAATCACACTGCCTCCGACACACCCATCCCGATTACCCCAGTCACTGAATCAATCCACCTCATAGAGGGTCTTCCCCTCCTGCACTGTCCCTCCACCTTCCCAAGCATGATGTCCCTCTCCAAGGACCCGTCCCTCCTTACAACACGTCCAACATATGTCAGATGAAGCCCCAGAATCCTTGCCTCCAAGGAGCAGCCTGGTTTTACCCTCTCTACGATGAATCTGTTTGTTTTCAATACTTAGGAAAAAATCAGTTTTGCATGCTAAGATTGAGTTATGAATAAGATGAATGGTTATGAAAAACCTTGTAACTATTAATGATAATCATGAGAGTATTAACAACTTCAAAATTTTGTTAGTGTAACCTTGAATAAAAAACATGCTAGGATAAAACCATAGAACCATAGTGATGATTGATTTGGTAAATTTTGTTCAGATTTATTGATAATATCCAATCAACCTCCAATTCACTATTAGTAATACAGACTAGCTACTGCTGATTTCCAAAAAATAACTGTAAATTGTTATTAAAAATATTATTACGTGAAAGGTGCCAATAGGGAAAAAGTGCCCTTGGGGCCTGAATCACCTCATAAGTGCCACTATTTTTGAGCCCACTGTTGCAGTCAGCATGTCACTTTATCTCACTGATGCTCATTCTCTTTTTCGCTGGCACTTTAATAAGCATGAAATTCTTCAGGGACAAGTCTTTTGTTCAGAGATGGTTATTTCAGATGTAGAATGTCAATTCTTCT